AATTTTTTGAATTAAAATACATCTCTCATTTCTCCTCTCTCACTCATTGCTCAAGGCACACCAAATAGCAATTATACATACATATATAAAAAATATATAATATAACACACACATACAATTTTATTAATACTGCATTATAGAAAAGTAATGTAAAGAACTAAAAAAGTGCCATTCACTCACATTGTCGAATAGAGAAAGCTGGGACAAGTCTACGTCTCAGCTGAATTGCACTTAAACACACACACATAAGAAGAAACGCGAAAAAATAGAAAGGTTCAAAATTCTGCAAGCTTGTTGGTATTTGTATATATGTAGTATATTACGCGTGTGTGTCTCTTCAAAATATTTGCAGATGCCTTTAGTTTGTAGAGCACACTGCTGCTTGAATGCAAATGCAAGTTAAGCCAAGAATGCTACTCTTCTGCGTCGAAAACAACAATTTCAAATATACTTACATACATTTATGTACATACACTAACGCACTGTCACGCATACATATTTATACGATTATTTATGTTCTATTACGCGACGTTTTGAATGAAAGCCAGTTTAGCTACTTAGTAATACTGTTTATTTAATTTATGTTTAGCTGGGAATCCATCAACTAAGGCAACAAACAAATCACTAAATATACTAAATACATACATACATATACGCTGCTTTATATTTATCGACTATTTGTATGCTTATAATTATGTAATCATGTAATATTTGTAGTTTATTCCGTATGAAATACACGCTGTAAGAGAAATAGTTAATTGTTTTGGTGTTTTTGTAAACGCATAAAAGGTAATAATTTAAAATTGCATAAAACATAATTAATAACGGTAATTATAATCGCGCTTGTGTTAAATATTTTGTATGTATTTATTGTATATGAAAAAATTATGAATAAGTTGTAAGTACTACTTAGCTGAATACCTTTAGTTTTTCATATTAAGTAAAAAATTAAAATAAATATATTAAAAAATAAAAAAAGTGTTATTTTTACTTACGAAGTGACGAGAGAGAAGCGCAAATTTGCATTGGAGAAAAGTATCACATGATCAAATTTGACCCGGACCGTTCCCGGGTCAATGAAAAGGATGAGTGACGATCTTGTTTTCACGGATCTTTTGCCAAGATATCGCGCATAGTGTCTGGTCAGTTGTTGATTTTCCACGTCTAGAGCCACACTGGCACACAGGCGATGAATTAGTATTTTTTATTGCAGGTCAGTTTGATCAGATGGTATAAGCTCTGAAAAGCTATAGAAAGCTGAAATATTGTGTGCAATTTATTATTAAATTATATATTACATCCTATTTATTGTTTATATTTACTCAAGAGCTTCTATGGCTCTCCGTGATCTGTTTTACGCTTAAATTTTCCAAATTTAAAGCAGCATACTAAATACTAAATGCACGCAGCAAGGAGAACTCTACGACTTAGTTAATAAGACATCCCTTACCCTAAATGTTATTTGTACATTTAAGGTCTATATCTCTATTTAAAAATATCTTTTTATTCAATTTCAGAGAATATTGCTTAAGTCTAACAAAATTTTGGCTATCTCACACTAGGGAGCAATCTTTTCCTGGGGTTAACGCACTCCTTTTTCTGAAGCCACACACTAAATATGAATAAGTCTTGTTTATGAGCTCGAATTTTACTTCAAAAGAAATTTCGGTATTTCAACTCAAACAGAATTCAAATAAAAATTTCATTTATTAATAGTAATAGAGCGACATTAGATTATTCGAAGAGCGTAAATAAGTTGCAGAGAACGTCTATCGTATATGACAGACAGAGAACGTCTATCGTATGTGATATACGTTCTCCGTAGTTGTCACCGGTTGGTTTGTGCAGAGACTAAATTCTACCAAATATCGTATATTTTACGATATTTGATTCGATTGTCTTCAGTGGCGACAAAATTTCATTGTATATATTTAGGCGCTCAATTTCATTGACAAAGTTTTATGAGTGCTGTGAATTTGCTGGATTTAAGTCGGCAAATAATGTGACAGTTTCGTCCGCAAATAAAGTTTTTACTTTTACTTGACTTTTTATGTCGGATTTTGTTGCTTTGAGCCTGAAACAATCGATTAGGAACCAGTAAGGAAGCGCTAAGTTTGGTTGTACGAACATTTCATATCATTACAACTTGCAAGATTCAAAGCCAGGAAAGTTGTTAGTTATATGGGGCCTAAATGATTTTTACCCGATTATATTTTTTCTAAGCACATGTATGCACCGTTATAAAAAAACACGCTCTCTCAATTTTACTAAAACAACTCACATTTTGGTACGTGATTTTTGACACACAGACATATTTTTATCTGGAAGAAATTCTATCTAAATTTCAATTACATGTCTCACCCATTGACAGATATTTTCGGTAACAAATCAACTATAAACACTGGGTTCATATATTCGGTACCTAGGGTCTTGAACAGTTTTTATTGGATTTAAGCAATTTGTGGTCAAACGATGGCACACACAAAGACATTATTCCATCGTCCCATTTTGACCCAGGCTCCTTTAAAATTTAATGTCTCTAGTGTATGAAGTGGTTGTTTTACCGTGATTTTAGTAGTTTTAATTTTACCGTTATATAGTTAGTGAGCGAGGCCATCTTTCGATTTCATCCATTTTCATACTGTCGGTAGGAGTTCTTACAATATTTGTGCTGGGCGAATATCTTCATTTCAATGTAATATACCCGATTGCCTTCACATTTGGTATGAAGTAGCCCTTCACGATTTTTAATGAATCAGAGGGATATATTTTTTTCCAAGCGTTTTTATTGCTATTCACAATTCATGCACATTTTCTACCTGGAATTAAGGTTATAGACTTTTCATTAAAGCTTATCTTGTTGGTAGATCCATCGTAATGACATATTCTCTTCGACGGGCCTTAAACTATGTCTTTCCGATAAGTTAACATAATAGCTGGAGTTTATAATCTAGGTAAGTGTTATTAAAGGCATAATATATTCAATATATGATTAGGATCGTCGTCTAAAAATTGTATATCCTTACCAGATTCAAATTGATAAATCTTCCTCCCATCGGTTATGGAATGAATATCAACTGAGACAAGTTCGTTTATAAACTTGTAAGTAACCTAAGGTTGCCATTTTATGAGCTTACTTTTCAATAAAAATCCTTCTTTTCGTCTTCAATATTAGAAATCGCAGTTAATTTTTTAGCTGCCTTCAAATTATAAACAGACCT